GTTTCAAGGATAATCGTAACAATTGGTGTCAGAAGTGGGATTGTTAAATAAATCGCGAAGGATAAACTATCTACTGAAAATGGCGAAAATTCAGGACTTAAAGATTGAGGAGCTGAAACAAGAGTTGGAAAAGCGTAATTTGGCCACCTCCGGAAGAAAAGTGGAATTGTTATCCCGGTTGCGGGAGGCTATGGAAGCTGAAGGCATCGACGTGGACAAATACGACTTCCAGGGTAAACCCGACGATGCATCCGCAAAGGACGAACAGAAGGATGAAGCTGCTTGTCCGCCGAAGGATGTGCAGCAGACATCCGGGAAGGTTGAAGAACAGCAACAGCTCTAAGTCATCAACAGCTATAGACAGATGTCATCACAGCTGTCGTCACAGATGCAAGCACAGGATACACGCATGTCACAGATGTCATCACAGCTGTCATCCCAGATGCAAACGCTGGAGACACGTATATCTTCAGAGGTATCAGCGCAGGTGTCATCCCGGCTAGAAACTCAGCTACTGGCACAAGAGACACGTATATCATCCCAGCTGGAAGCACAGGATTCAAAAATTACACAAATACAGGACAAAATCGAAGAGAGACAGGAGAAAGTCGAGACAAAGGTAGAGGAGTGGGAAGGTCGTCTTCGTGATTTACAGTTGAATCGTCCGGCTACTTCGACGAGCGCACCCAAGGTAAAGACTCCATCCTTTGACGGCACTATTCCTTTGCAGGTCTTTAAGCTCCAGTTCGAAAAGACTTCTACAGCAAATCGTTGGAGCATGGAGGATAAATCCGCTGCATTATTCGTCGCATTGAAAGGACCTGCAGCGGAAATCTTGCAGACTATTCCCGACTGTGAAAGGAACAATTACGATGCGTTAATGGGTGCAGTGGAAAGACGTTATGGTAGCGAGCACAGGAGACAGATTTACCAGATGGAGCTGGAGAATCGCTGCCAGAAATCCAACGAGACTCTACAGGAATTCGCCTCCGAGGTTGAAAGGTTGGCTCATTTGGCAATTGGAGATGCATCTGGTGAGCACCTCGAAAGAGTAAAAATCCAGAGGTTCATCATCGGAATGCGGGACGTGTATACCAAGCGAGAGACGTACGCGAATCCCAAGCCAACATTTGCTGAAACTGTCTCGTATGCACAGACGCGTGAAACGGCGGCGCTCCTAAGTAGACCAGCCTACAAAGCACATCGCGTGGAAGTGGAAACACCGGACGAGACAAATGAAATGCTGAAGAAGCTAATCCAACTGCTGGGCGAGAAAAAGCATTGCTCTGGCAAATGTTTTAAATGTGGAAGGACAGGCCACTTCGCCCGCGAGCGCGCAGCGCAAGTTCCAGTGGGCTCAACTATTCAGCAGGACGCAAACGCAAGGCTGAAGGAGACGAAACCAACTCCAATCAGTCGTTAAACTGAAACGAGCCAGCAGGAAGGGCCGCGTGCTGGCTCCAGAAGTTGAAGGGCCCATAATCTCCGTCTCACAAATAGGCCGGAAAGCATGCAGTGGATACTGGAGCGACACATTCCATTATTCGACCGGATTTGGCCACTTTTTATGTGAAGCCACTACCTGGAGCAAAGCTGCAGACTGCAACTGGTGAACGCACCCAAGTGTTAGGGGAAGTACCATGCGAGGTAATAATCGACGGTGTGGCCTCGTACACTAAGTTTATAGTGGCAGACAGGCGCGCTTTAAAGTGTCATGAAAAAGGTGGTCGCGAAAGGCGAGCAGTTAAGCAGGAAGCCAAGGGTGAGATTATACATGTCCGGTCAATGAAGTTAGGATCGGCGGAAGAGCGAGATACGAAACGACGGCGGAAGCTTCAACGTAAGGATCCGGATGTAGCAAGATGTGCTAAAGGCAGTGCAGCACGAAGGCGGGAGTCTGGGTGTCATGGACAGATGATGCGGCATAGATCTGGCGAAAAAGGTGCTCACGAGAGGAGACATGGTCTGGTCACCACCAGTGGCCGGCGGAAGCACGACCATGTGAAATGGTGCACTCCCGGAGATAAGCCGGAAGCAATGTCCAGTAACGCATTGTGGTTGTACATGTCGCAGCAGAAGAAAAGTCTTACCTCCAAGCAAAGACTTGACTGGAAAGATCCGTTAGACAAACGGCTGAAAGACGCAGTGCATCGAATCCAACAATGGGGAGACCAAGGACCAAGATGAAAGTGGTCCACTTGGAAAGACTTGCAGCGATTGGAGCGGCAAGTGTGTCTGATCGGGACGATCAGACTTAGGTGGAGGGCAGTGTGGCGAATACTGCGGCAACACAAAGCGAACAACGAGAAATAGGCAGAATGTTCGAGGAATGATGTAGAATGTTCCACAAAGAGAAACGTCAAGTCAAGCAAGATAAAGAGAATGAGCGAATACTTCAGAATGTTCTAGAGTTGCCATAAGTGCCAGCGCAGGTATACAAGGGCGCCGCCACAGCGGAGTTGAGTTAGTTACGAGTTACAAGCCAGCAAGCTACAAGTAAAGTGAGCAGAGAAGTGAGTTGTGAATAAGCAAGCTATAAGTTTAATTGTGTTAACAAGTAGTAAAGCATTGTTATTGCTTTAACAAGTATTGTAAAGTGTTTTTATTGTATTAGCGAGTATTGTAAATTGTTTGTTGTACAATAAAGTTAATTGTACTACAATTTGGTCATCGATTGCATTTAGCTACTAGAATACATAGAGGCCTCCTCTCTCCCACGGAGATTCAAACGGTGGTAGGCGAATTATTTGAGTGGTCAACAGTAATGTTTATAGACAAATTGAGTAATCCCAGAAAAATAAAATAGGGGGTTCCACAGGGTAATGTCCTTTCCCCATTACCGTTCAACTTTGATATTTCTATGCTCCCTCAATCACCAGAAGGAGTCTCGGTTGTCTCTTACGCTGACAATTGCTCGATAACGGCATCTGGGACTGGAATTTATGACTTGTGCTCGAAATTAAACGGTTGCCTCTCCGAGCTTTCTCGCTTCTTCACTACTAGGCGCCTAAACCTCTCCCCTACAAAATCCTCAGTTACCCTGTTCACCACCTGGACGAAAGAGGTCAGACTGCAGCTGGGTATTCAAGTTGATGACATACCAATCCCGACGGTGAATAACCCGAAAATCCTCGGAGTAATATTGGACTTCTCCGCGCACACAGCCGCAAGTGTCAACTAAGTACAGATCCGCAACAAGGTCCTTAAGTCGCTAGCCGGCAGTACCTGGGGCAAAGACAAAGAAACATAGCTCGCAACATACAAGGAAATTGGCCTGCCGGTTCTAAACTACGCAGTACCAGTGTGGTCGCCGGGGACTAGTAGGACGCAGTGGATGAAGCTTCATACGACACAAAATACAGCACTCCGGACAGCGACCGGATGTCTTCTGATGGCGCCACAGCATCACCTGCCGTCCGAGGCGCAAATGCTCCCCATAAAGGAGCAAAACACAATGCTGTGCAAGCAATTCTTAGTAGGGAGCCACTTGCTTGCAGAGGAGCCCTCGCCAAGGCATGTCAGAAGGCATCTATACGAACTGTCGGACGAAGTCTAGAGGTTCATAAAGCAACCTCTGGACAGCATATCTACAGGCCTTGAGCGGCATTCACAGGGAGTCGGGCTCAAGCTACCTAGACTCCAGGCCTGTGAATGCCGTTCTGTACACATAACCACCTGACGTGGACGAGACGGAGCTGCGTCTGTCTCGGGAGACTTGGAACACAATATCCAAACTTCGCTTCGGCTACTGCAGCAGGCTGAACTCGTACCTGAGCAGACTAGATGCGGATGCCTCAATGAGTGTCCGGAATGCGGAGAGACACCCCACGACTGGAAAAATCTCTTCTCATGCCCACAAAACCCCACTCAAATGAGGCCTCTGTCCCTATGGATAGACCCTATAAAGGCTGCACGCTTCTTGGGTCTCGCGATACATGGCAACCCCAACCCAATAATCTTCTTCGATTTATACGTAAATCGTGTAGATTTAAAGCAGATTAAAAGGAACCGGAAAACAGTGAGTTTGGTATTTTGTATGTCGTCAAGGGCGTAGCCAGGATGTAATGTAGGGGGACCAAAGGTTAATACACCAATACATTTTTGTTTTAATTTTTTTGTTTAATCATTTTTATGCTAGTAACAAACGCGACGGATTTCCAGAAAACGTTTCAATTATTTACTTCTTAGTGATCGTGCGGCTGTTTTTAGTCCAGAATGTATTTTCGCTATATAAATGAGCATCTTCAAAAACTTTTTCATCAAGGGGGTGGGCAACGGGTTTTAGGTACCGTGAGGTAAAAACAGATCCAATGAAAAGTCCAAGCCTAGGTTAATTTTCCCCCAAACTTAGACGACTCACCACAAGAAAAAAGAACTACACTTTACAGATATGTGCTTGGGATGTCCGAATCCTCCATACGAAAGGTGCTGACGGGGGATGATTGCAAAAAATATGCAGCGTGCGACATATATGACAGCTGCGATGAGACGGCGCACAAATTTGGACAGTCGAAAATTAAGGTTTTCTTAACAACGCCCCCGACAACGGACAAAGGCTAATCAACTTCGCCACAGTACGGAACATGTTAGTTATTTAGTAGTACATACCATGCCCCAGCTGCCCCAGCTGCCCCCGCTGACCCTACCTGGCTACCTCCTTGAGTGCCGCAAATCAAAAACATTTATAAGTTTTCATTAAAATCTTGTGTGTCTTATGAACTCCTGTTACCACAGTTCTATACTTCTCACTGCAGGAACCAGCTTCAGTCTTGAAACCTTTCGTCCACATTATTAATGCTACATGGTTGGACTGCAGCCGAAATTAAAAAAAAGTTTATTATTAATTTTATTTACAATGTTTTTAATTTTATTAGTCATTAGCGCTTATTTGTTTAAAATTATATTTTAGTAATATTATATACTAATTTATGTATCGAAACTATTTAGATAAATGATTTAACTAACTATAAGCTCCGTTGTTTCTGTACGTTTTTTTCCTAAATTCGACTAAAATCAATTTAACTAGAAATAATGCGTTTTAGTAGAAGTAAAACAAAACAAATAATTTATTCGTTAATCTCAACAAATACTCGTAGTATAAAATTTGTAAACAACACAAGCCAGGTTTTTAATATTTATCCATACACAGTAAATACATACGTGTATATGTATTTATATTTGACAATATAACGTGCAATCATTCGGTTCTTTCTTCTTGAAGAATTGCAGCTTCCATCTGATTGTAGATTTCAATCGGCAAAATCATTCGCCCGACCACCGATCTCCATTCAATTTGCTTTTGGATATTGTTTTCGTTGTTTTCGTCATTGTTTCACAAGAATAATTTAACTTCACGTACTTATGTATATCACATGGGTCGCATTATAAACCCTAAAATTCCGCTTCTTTTATTACTAAGCATAACTACTGATGTACAGCACGTATACATACAATTAGTTGTACATATGTACTTATATACTATGAGTAACTGATATTTTAATAACAATTAATTAAAATATACACATTTTATCCGAGACATTTAATACCTAGTCTAAAGCATAACTTTAAGGGTTCAGTATTATATCTAAAACCGTTAAAACAAATTCGTATGATTCAAATGCATGAGGTTAATGCTAAGAGATGATTTGAAATTCGTGTGAGAATAACTGCGCAAAGTTATTGCTAATCGATAATACGCCATGTGCGCACATGATCTAGGGTCAGTAATCGGGGTCACAATATGACTTGAGTTCCGAGTAGCCGCATGGACGCCGACAACACTCGTGTATGGCACCTTGAAATGGTTGTCGGTATTCACCATCCTCGCCGGCTAATCGTTTCAGGCTGGATACATGGCCCATGCCGACACTATCGGCTGTAAAGAGAATACGAATGTTAAATTATGTCTAAAAATGTGCAGACTTTTTTAAACTTACGAAACTTTCGAGATAGCGAGTAATACCTGCCGCCACATATTAGACGAATGGCATCAGAGAGATTTGTGCTGCAGTAGCGTTTGAACTCTACATCGCTGCCACCACCGGGAAGCAGAGGTTGAGCTTCTGTACAGTGCGATGATAGGTCCAGGCAAAACACTAGGCTGATGACGATCAGGCTAAGGCATAGCAGGTTAGGAAAACTCGCGGAATATTGAGGGAACATCATCTGTAAGAGAAGTAAATATTTGCAAAGTTGCTTTGTTAATTTATATGATAATATTTTTGTACTGATGGATATATTACGTATAGATAATATTTCGAGTTAACATAGCTTGAGGCCTTCGTTATTGAATGATTTTTAACATGTTGATATTGTCTTAAAAATGAAGGTAATGTTGACTAATCTTTGTTGCAGCCACTCTTGTTTGTAGGCCTTGTCGGGTAAAACAAGAATCGAAATATGAAATTTGACAAACACCCCTAAAATCTGCAGGCTTTTAAGTGCGCAAAAGTACGCAACCCGGTTTTACCCGTAACTCAAGATTTTAGGGGTAATTGGCAAAATTCGTATTTCGAATTGTGTTTTACTCGACAAGAATTACAAAAAAGGAACATCACTTCCCAGGTATGGGTAAATAGGTGAAGGTACTCCGCTATGATTAATCACTTTCTCGTAATCAATTGATAGGAACTTTATTTACCGGTAAAAAAAAATTATTACCAGCGCAGAATAGACCTGTTAGTCTCATCTGAAATACATATATTTAGCGCTTGCGCTAGAAGAGTTGCCGTGATTCTCGGCATATGTGTACTAGAAATATTTATGTTTTTGCTATTATTTTTTTATACCATTTTGAACACGTTGAAACATGCCTTGAAAAGAGTTCACACTTAATGTATTTTCTATATTTTGCAAATGAAATATGGGATGTAAAATGAAAAAGTAGTGATTAACCTAAAGCGGAATTTTAATTGAATGAAGAAAAACTATGGAAAAAACTGAATTGCTGATTCCCGTCATGAAATGTGCCGGGGTTTTTTGCGTTCCTCACGCTTTGGGCACTTTTGCCACGTTTTGACCCATTTTTGACATTTCTGAGAGAGTAACTTTTACTAGGTTTACATATAAGATTGTCTTCATTTTCGAGCTTAACTCCCTAATCTGTATTTATAAAATAATCTCAAATTAATTCCGATAACTTTCCTGTGTCCATCCTAGTTTCATTGATTATTTTTGCGAAGAAGAGAAAAAATGTCAAATGTTAAAGTAAACAAAATGGACGCTGGCAAGGAAAAGAGGTTTGTAAAGGTATTTTTAATAAAATATTAAATTGAAATATGTTTAAATTGCTTAATAAAGCAGAAAAAAGTGATCACAGTGGCACAGAGAAAAAACTTAACTTTTCCTTGAGTTGTGAGAACAACAAATTTGACGACTAATAATCTGAGATTTGCCTGTGTAATCGGAGTAATTAACAAACGAGCTTTGATTAAGATTATTTTTTATGTAAACATACTTTTATTTTTACTCTCTAATTACCGAAACAGCCCGGAAAGTATGTGGAACAAAGCCATTAATTTAATACTTCTTTTCACATTTATTTGAGAGATCTGGGGACAATGTGTGTACAATTATTTTGAAGTTAATTCAACCTTTTAGTTCGCTTTTATAATACATTTTATTTCTTTCACAATCTTCCCTACCAAGTATTCTTGTACATAGATTGTGTACTCCATACATCACAACTTTCTGAAATCTGTTGACTTTGATGTTCATATTAAAATCACTATCGTATTTGGTTTCATCTTAAAATCACTTTAATTTTGATATATGTCCGAACACAAATTTCGAGGGCAAATAAACCTTCATTAATTCAAATAAAAATTTCCATTATTTTGCTCTCATAAGGTTTTATTTTTTACGTTGTTTAATAACAGTTATTATCCAAAGTTTATTTTTCACGTTGTCTGATAAACGTTGTAAGATAAGAATATTGACGAAACGAAGATGATGAAAATAAAAGAGGAGGAGTGAAATAACTGTTATCAGACAACGTAACAATAAACGTTGGACAGTAACTCTTATCAAGCAACGTAAAAAATATACGTTGGGAAATAACTTTTATCAAACAACGTAAAAAATAAACGTTGGGAATTAACTCTTATTGGCGACTGAAAATATATTTGTCCTGCATAACAGTTATCAGGCAATGTAAATGTAAACGTTGGGTCATAACTCTTATCGGTGAAATAAAAAATATTTCTCATCTTATAACTGTTATGGAACAACGTTTTTCAATAAAACTTATAACTGTTATATCCCTGAAAAAAAGTAAGGGCACTAGCAAATGTGCTACAAAATCCTGAACTCCCCAATTAATTAATAAACGCGGAAAGCAGGGACGAACTTAATAAAAGTGCGTACTCAAAATCAACATTCGGCTGCTTATAGTAAAATGGTCCCTGTAAATATAGTCATGTGAAAACTTAGATAGAACCTATGGGCCCCCTCACATTTACCTAAAACTCAAGAAAATTTTGGACGCCGTTCAAAAAAAAAGCTTGAGTTGAAAGTTCGAGAATATAATATTACAATTAACCCCCGAATAAGTCATGTTTACGAGCTCTGTACATACATATGTATGTACTTATTGTATATAAAAATCGTTTCGGGAAACCTTCAAACACACTTGTTGTTTAAAATGTAGTCAATAATAATAAACGAAATACAAAATAATGCATGGGGTAGATAACCTTTGATTCATTTCAGAATACAATTCGTTTAATTATCAGTTATGTTGCATACTATTTTATAAACATATAGGCATATACATTTATTTTCGTACACTTAAATTATACTAGGCAAATATGTATGCATAATCGCAAATGCTTGTTTTTAATTTCTTGCAAGTTTTGATTTCGAATTGATTGATTAACCATTCGCAAGCAAGGTATGTACATAAATATTTATATTGGGTGTTTTGAGTAGAATTATAATGTTTATAAATATATGTAATGGGTGATTTTTTAAGAGCTTGATAACTTTTTTTTAAAAAAAAACGCATAAAATTTGCAAAATCTCATCGGTTCTTTATTTGAAACGTTAGATTGGTCCATGACATTTACTTTTTGAAGATAATTTCATTTAAATGTTGACCGCGGCTGCGTCTTAGGTGGTCCATTCGGAAAGTCCAATTTTGGGCAACTTTTTCGAGCATTTCGGCCGGAATAGCCCGAATTTCTTCGGAAATGTTGTCTTCCAAAGCTGGAATAGTTGCTGGCTTATTTCTGTAGACTTTAGACTTGACGTAGCCCCACAAAAAATAGTCTAAAGGCGTCAAATCGCATGATCTTGGTGGCCAACTTACCGGTCCATTTCTTGAGATGAATTGTTCTCCGAAGTTTTCCCTCAAAATGGCCATAGAATCGCGAGCTGTGTGGCATGTAGCGCCATCTTGTTGAAACCACATGTCAACCAAGTTCAGTTCTTCCATTTTTGGCAACAAAAAGTTTGTTAGCATCGAACGATAGCGATCGCCATTCACCGTAACGTTGCGTCCAACAGCATCTTTGAAAAAATACGGTCCAATGATTCCACCAGCGTACAAACCACACCAAACAGTGCATTTTTCGGGATGCATGGGCAGTTCTTGAACGGCTTCTGGTTGCTCTTCACTCCAAATGCGGCAATTTTGCTTATTTACGAAGCCATTCAACCAGAAATGAGCCTCATCGCTGAACAAAATTTGTCGAAAACACACATTTCGAACCGAACACTGATTTTGGTAATAAAATTCAATGATTTGCAAGCGTTGCTCGTTAGTAAGTCTATTCATGATGAAATTTCAAAGCATACTGAGCATCTTTCTCTTTGACACCATGTCTGAAATCCCACGTGATCTGTCAAATACTAATGCATGAAAATCCTAACCTCAAAAAAATCACCCGTTATATTGATTTTATGCGAATGCATACATACATAAAAGACTGTGTGGGAGCACAATGCATTTCTTATCATTTAGGACATGGTTTCGTTGTTGTTGCTGCGGTTTTGATTTAAATAATTTTGTTTATATGAAGCTTGATTTGTAAGCGTTGGCGTAGCGTTGTCATTTAAGTTTTGTTTAAAAATAAAAAAGTTAATCTATTTTAATAAAGCCACGAGCCTGTAAAATAAACTAAAAAGCAGCAATTACAGCAACAAAACAGAGGATTTGAACCCAACAGTAGCTGACAAGTGTAGATGGAAATCACGGCAACGCCATAGAAAATAATTACTGCAGCACAAACGTTCTGTTCATTTTGTTGACTTCATAACGGATGAACTTATACATATGTATGTATGCATATATGTTTGTGTTAATATATTTAATACAAAATAAGATATGTAAATACGTATGTATGTATATTTTTAAATCCAGAGTGACAAGGTACGCTCCCATTCACATAAATACACACATATGGACATACATATAAGAATGTAATTAAGTACTTAAGAGAATAAAATACAAATTAATATAAATAATAAGTGCATACCAGACAATTAGTACAAATGAATAGCATATGTAAATAAAAACATACATACATGCATACGAAATAAAATAAATAAATGCGAATATGGCACACCCACATAGTACATATGGTAGATTTTCTAAATAAGCGATATGCTTGACTTGATTCTTTAATTTAAATTTAAGCAGAGATTACAAGTGATTTTTATGTTATAAGCGTGTTTCGAATTAAGAAAATTTAGTGGACATTTGTTATAAAGAGCTTTTGTGATACATATGTATGTATGTAGCATTGAAAGTGTACATACATACACACATACATAAATATTTAGGCGTTGGTGCATTTGAAGTACAATGACCGTTCTCCTCGTGTATGAAGCTTCATTAATAGTTACCTAAATTACGGATACGAAACAATATTAATATCGATAATAAAACCATGTAGTTTAAAAGGTACCATAACAAGACATATTATCATAGTGTCATAAATTTTATTACAGTTAAACATAATTAACACAAAATATTTTTAACACCCTTATTCTGCATCTCTTTCGTATTCGGATTTTGCTACGAATCGTAGAAATAGTATGCTGCAATCCGAATCGTATTTTCGAACTTTCGAAATTCGTAACAATGGCATGCCTAAAAACAAACGAGTAAGCTTTTTTGCGTAATTTTGTACGAAAACAATTCTGTGTCGGATGCGAAATAAAAG